AAAAACTACTGTTGTTATTAATTTATATCACTGATATCATTAAGAGTAATCTAAACAAAAATAGTCAAGTTCTTAATTGACGGTAAGAAAACAAGCATAGAAATCTTCTGATTAAGGATTACAATATTTACTTAGAGCATCTACTTATACAGATTTATACAGCAAAATTCCAACACTAAACTACCTAGCTCAGAGAACTCAATAATATCAAATGCATTGAACATTGTCTCCATTTGAATGACCGATAAACAATAAACGGGTAAATGATTAACTAACAATGAACAGACTAATCCAAACTTGAGAATAAAACAAATTTAATAGCTTGGGAATTCTACTGAAAATTTCAACAAAACTACTCTTAGAAATGAAGTAATGGGATAAATAAAATGTACTTGAGTTACATATGGTACCACAATCATTAAACATAGTACCCACAACTTTTAGACTTTAAACTAATAAGTACAAAAAAGTGATTTGAATTTTGTGCGTCACTAACCATAGACTTTTGATAATTAAGGAATCATTTAAAATAACAAGACTAGTTAATAGTAACGTTTTAAAAACGTTTTCAATTCGCACTTTTATTTTTACCGTTGAATAAACAAATGATTATCATTCATTCACCAAATGACAACTATTTTTAACTTACATACACACACGCACACACAATCACTCATTCATTTATTTTCACATTGTGTACTTTTCACGTGATTCACATCTTACTGACTCAAATTAATTTCATACTAACTAAAGTCGACATCTGAATATGATTGAATAAGTATTTAGTGTAGATTTGATTTGATTGTTAAATGTTAGATATTCTTTGATAATTTTAATTTTGATGATTACACTGAAGAAGTTCAGATAAGTTTGCAGGACGAAACGTCGGAGTTATTTAAATTCTATGCGGTGTGGTTATGTCAGATATAATTTCCACAGTTGAAATCACGAGTCGATCTAAGCTAAAACACCATTAAAAACCTGGATGCACTAGAAGGCCATTTCGTCTTCGTATGGGACTCCTCGACAGCCATGTACGATGTTTAAACTAACCTCTCATTAAGAGCCGATAAATTGCATCCCATATAAAATCAAGAAGGAACTCTACCAGCAATTAATTAATATTAGTAACGCGCGTTCAACAGATATGATAGTGCTAGTCCGAGATTGTAATGTGCAGGTTGAGGGTCTAAGTACAGAGACCAGTCGCTTGGGTGGCCAGTAGGAACATGATGATCACAGTTTAGATAACGATGACCATCTTCTGAAGCTTTCGGTACATCATAACCTGTCCGTGGCCAGAAACAACTTCCGACACAGTCAACCTCAATATGACACCTGGCACGCTCCTTCTGCACCTCAAACCATGACTCGAGTTGATCACATTGCTGCGGCTATCGCTAGCGTGAATCTGTTAAAGACTGTCACTCATTTTGGAATACATATTTGGATTCTGATTACTACTTGGTTTACTTTAATCATAACTTGCGCTTCGGCAGCCAAAAAACGTCCCATCATAAATGGACTGATGTAGACGAATTGAATCTGTTATACCCAAACCTCAAGATGAATGGGGTTCAAAGCTAGCTGGCAGTTCACCAAAAAGCCTAGATGACCACTTAGTGCATTTGAAAATGGAGTGTCAAGTAACTTGGGGTTTTGTGAAATGCCGCACTTATAAGAACTGAGTTTCTACAAACACCTTAGAACTCTTTAAGAACTCCAGGCCGCTGAGAAGAATCGTTAATTGGATTACACGTGTAGTTTTTATGTAAGGAAATTTCATAAAGATTCCGCAAGGACGGAGGAACCAAGTAATCGGAAAAAGCTAACGAGCTCGAAGGAGAAATTACAACTGATAACTGTCTGAAGCTGTTTCAATCCATCTGAGCCACCAGCAGCAAGAAGTCTAATGTCAGAATAAAAATCTGTGAAACTGATGAAACTATCATCAATTAAAAGTTTCGAAAGATTAGTGGATTCTCCGGGGCACAGTTCAGGTGATCCATTTCTCCAACAACGTCGATCAACTTTTCCTATCCCCTCATCTCGGTGATTACAGACCCACCTATTGAAGTAGAGGTTTGTAAGGAGCAACGAATGTTCCAACACCTTAGAATGAAGCAATGGTCGTCCTCATCTTTAAAAAGGTCCTATGTCATCTATGCAACAAATATAGAGGGATAATTCTACTTTGGCTTCATCCAAGATATCGGCTTCCACCATACTACACAGATTGTACAAAACTCGAGAAAGACTGACTCGCTAAAAAGAGACCAGTTTTCGATCAGATCGTGGGTATATTGATCATATATTAACCCTATCCCAAATACTGTCTACTGGAGTCCAACAATCTTTGTGTTTTTTTATATCGGTGTATCGTCTTCGATTCACTGGATGGAATTTTACTCTAGGATTCTGTGTTGAAAAAGAATGTGTCTAAGAAGCACACTAACATTGTGAAGGCTCTTTACACAAGCAACCTAGACAGAGTGAGTGCTTACAACTAATTCCCTCTAGTGCTCCATTCCAGCAGTGGAGTCAGGTAGTTTTTCAACCTCACCACTCCTATTCAACTGTGCCATCGATGGTATCTTGAAAACCGTTCTGATGGAAGTAGGTGATCGTGGTGGTATGGACGTATCCTGTAAAAGCTTTTCGATTTTGAGTATGCAAATGGCACTGTACTTTTGTCCAACGTTATATACCCAATCAAAATCAGACTTATTTAGTCGATAACCAGTATTTGTTAATATAGCATGTGCTTAGTACTATTTAAATCCAAAGTGCTCCTGCAAAACTGAGAGGAGGCTGAGCCTGTGTTCACCCTTTGTAATGAAGCGTCATAAATAGTCGAGGTTTGTATATCTAGATAGTTGTCAGTGTTGGTGGTATTTGGACTAATGAAATCTAGGTAGGGGGAAAGCCAAAGTGACTTATTCTAGCTTCCCTATTTTGTGACACCGTCACAATGTTAGTCTTATTGTAAAAGGTTGGATTTACGACGCGTTGATGAAAGAGATTTTGCTCTATGCTTGTGAAACCTGGTCTCTCCAAAATGAGGATATTCGGCGACTTCCCGGATAATTACTGATATTCAGTGATAAAGTCATGTCAGTAACAAGGAGGTTCAGAAATGTGTTTCGGAGCATTGAGGATAACTCAGCTAAGTTACTATTTTGTAGTACTGGCTTCTATGGCTAGGACTTGTCTTATGAGTGTCCGCCAATGGCTTCCACATCGTGCATTACTTTTTGATGGTGACACTAGACAGAAAAAGCAGAAATGTGGTCAATTTATAATATGACACGTGGTATGAAAGAAAGCTGTGTACGACTGGGATCTTTTAATCTAGTTAGTGTCATCAAGGTGACTTAAGAACTTATTAAACATGATACAAAATGGAAGCCAGTAGCAATTCTGTTGTAATTTTCGTTTATATTTTTCATAAAAGTGGGAGGAATCGAAAGAAGCCTTTGCTTGTTGCATTTTTAACTACATTGTATCTCAAGTTATACACTAATCATGTTCACTTATTTTTAAATTTTGGTTACATTTCCCTTCTCTCTATTTATTTCTCCACAATATTATTATCCCACATGCTCTTTTCAGTGCCAAAATGTACCAGAATTTACGGGAAGTGAAACAAATTTAAATTTACTTCCCACGTATTTTCATTCATACATTGTAATCACACCATATGATCACTAAATTATTCGGAAACTTTATTCATTAACGTCACCTTCTTATTACAATCCTCATAGTTCATTACTTTTACTCAATAAATAAGAACATGGTGACACAATAAAAATATATAGTCAGAATGAATAGGCGAATAAACGATGGTGTTCAATTTAATGAATAGGGCCATTTTTTTTCAAAATACTTAATAAAGTATTCTTTACATTCAGTGAAGTAATTCAATGTGCAGAAACTTCTAATTACAACATCCGTAACTCCTTGTAATTAGTGAAACGAACACTTTCTAAATCATCTTTCTATATAAATTACTTTACCAGTAAATTTTTCAAACTCTGGAATAATCTACCTCTATGTTTTTTTGATGCATTGATGCTTACTGCTCCTCTGAATATGCATTAAATGTTCTAGCAACTATAAGTGTATCTTATTCCACAAGTGAGATTATAGGAACTTTAAATGTTTAGCTATTTTCATTACTGAATCCACTAAGTAAAACCACCTACCTGCTGTTACTTTACATTAACAACGTCCCTGGAAACTAATTTGAATAATATCTAACACGAATAGTAGATTAGAAAATAACCTATGTATTATGGTAGACCTAACAAACCTATCTTAAAAATTATTGCCATTTTTTCGCGCTCTCTGCTTGTGCTCTACTTTCTCTACTTATAGGTGGTTATAATAAATTCTTTATAGCGCAGGAAATGACTTTAAATGCACCGTTCATACATCAACAAGATGTCCACTTAAGATGAATTAAACGTTCCCGGGTTTATGCATTTTATTGCTGTAATACATGTCATACTATCTAAGCAATTTTTGAGTTAGTAAACTTAAAACAATCTTATATCGCATTCAGTGAAGTAAATCAATATGCAGAAACTCCTAATTACAATATCCGTAACAATCTTATATCACATATTTGTTCTCTACAATCCGTGTTACTACTTATAACAAGCTGATCATGTCTGTGAACTGGCATCAATTATGTAATTATTATTTTCAGAATATACATATATTGTTATAATTATTATGTAACTAATTTTTCAGGTGCAGATTGGTGTACTTGGCTTTCAGTCACACTTATACGTGAGGACTACAACCCAGCTGCTCAAATCAAAGAAGATGAAGCGGGACTTGGATCTGTAACTTAATGATTGAAAGCTGAACCTTTTAACCAATAAGCGACCAATCTACAATTGTCTACACAATTATACAAGGTTATATCATTAAAATAAATAGAAGTAAAAGACATATCAGTATAAAATGAAATAAAAGAATTTTAATTCACTTGCATTCTTGTTTAAAAGTGAAGTATTCCGTTAAATGTCGACATTCATGATTACCACGTAGAAGATAAAATGTTGTTGGATGAAGAATTTTCAATGCCCATAAATATAAAACACACTGTAAATGTAAAATTAATTAAAGACAATAAAAAAAGATGAAATAGTGATTTTATTTCAATGAAATTTAAAGAATACATAGTGAACTAGAAAACATGTTTATATAAATTGTGATATTCGTTCAATGAAATAAATAAACAGTTCACTTCACAATCAGTTGATTACTGATTAGTGCTGAATGAGTTATATCGATTAGGTTGCAAGTTGCCACTAGTTTAGGTGACTTGATGTCATTTAAATTAAGATGGTGTAATGATAAGACAAAATTCTTCAGAATCATGTGATATATGAGCACAATATCACAGTTCTGATCGTTTAATGGGTGAGTTGTACTATCCTGTATACAAAAAAATTATTCCATCTTATCAATTACCACAATAATCACAACGCCCAGCTTTCGAAACTCCCCAACCTCTCGACTATTGTCACTATTGACTTTTAACATCTAACCGATTTATTTCTGTTTCCACGTCCTTGCTGGTTAAATTATTATCTTTACATTCATGTTACACAATCCGTTTCACCATGAATATTCAACCTCTTAACAATTACGTTTACGAACTTTGTTGGCGTACATGGATCCTATGAGGATTATCTTGACATAGTTATTACATTACAGGTTATTTAAAAGACAAATTAAGGCCATCAGTGAAGTCCAAGGGGCACATTTTGCCACGTTTGGGAATTCAAGACTGGATTTACTTAAATCCTAATGTTGATATTCACATTAAGATACGGTACAATTTGCCTTAGTCACAGAGCTACTGACTCTAAATACCTAATAACTTGCTCAACGGGTAAGATGCTCATATCATCATTAGTATGAATTTGAACTATCCCGTTGTTAATAGTCAAGACTGAATTTCGATCAATCTTTTCTGAAGGGTCCAAAGTACGACAAAATGAGCATACTTGATTTCAATGATAGACACAATCCATCTATTCTAAATACATTTTCAGTTTCGTAATAAAAATATTTTGTGTGCTTTTATTCATTTTGTTCATTCTCACGATATTTAGTAAATTACTATTAGTATCTGCTTACATATTATCGTTTATCACTAGGGAAAAAAGGTATACGTGTTGGTGAATGAATTTAAGAGAAAAAGGTCACTTTTCCAAATCACTTTTTTTCTTAATTTTAGGTTTTAATTGTTTTTTTTTTCATTTAGTTAAAATTATAAAATACAATCAATCAATCATACATTACCTGCAATTGAAATTGACACTATCAACTGCCTTCTCTAATATGCAACCTGATCAATAAACTAAGTGAGTTTCCAACCAAAAAGAATTAAATATAAATGTTATATTTTATAACAATAAGATGAAATGAAAACAAAATCACAAACAATAATCCAAAGCACAAGAAAGGATTGTATATACACAACAAAAATAAACTAGTTTTGTCCTCCCTTTTTACAAAACACACACATATATACAAAAGAAATAAAAAAATAAACAACAAACATCATTTACCCTAAAAAAACCTCTGTTCGTTTGCCCAATAAAAGAAATTTAAAAAATTCAGATAAATTTATCTGTTGACTTTGTTTATTTATTATAATTATTGTTATCGTTGTCGTTTAAGAAATAAAGACATAACTAAAGTATAACTGTGAGAAATTGGAAATTCGTTTAATAATAAATGACTAACAACTAATCTAAATATTAAGAAAACACACAAATGAGAATAAGCAGGATGAAAAAATATGAAAATGTAGGAGTGGAGGACAAGAAATACGTAAGAAAATAATAGAAAACAAGAAAAGAAACGAGGAAAAGAAGAAAAAATCGATGAAATGAAAAACCATTCATATACTGATGTAACCAATTGCCAAAATGAGTTAAATCTAAAAGGCGAAGCGAAAAACACAACAGAATAATAACAACCTAGATTCGATTCAATTTAATTATAACGACAGAAAAAGAAAGACAAGGATACTATTCTTTCAATTCTTTTTTCTAAATGAACGAAAAATAATGAATTATTCAAAGAACAGTTTCGTTTTCGTTCTTCTGTTAGACCTATCACTAATAAGCGTTGTGTACAGCAAAGAAAAGATGATCATTAGATTTCGCAGGATGTGGGATTTCATGGTAAGGAATGAGAAACCACAAAAGCGAAAGAGACAGAGAAGAGAAAGAAGATCCAAAATACTAGGAAATTATATATATATTCAAACAATCCAAAAGATTTTGATAAAAATGTATTGTAAAGACTGGTTCTATTTGTTTATTCTTCTTAAATTAGAAGGTAAATATCCTGATAGTCATTATCTGTTTTTGTCTAAAAGTATACACGCACACCTACAAATAATTTACGGGACATACATAAACATTAGTTTCCATCAGCATATAAGTGAAAAGGGAATTCGCAAATACACGACATACGTATGTATAGTGTGACAGATCAACTCCAATGAAACTATCGTGACATCATTAACTTTTGAAGCTACATTGAATAAGCTAGAGTGCAAAATTTCCGGAGATCACGTTACACAGATAATAGATACCGGATTCTTTCATTGATCAATTGATAAATTCATAAATATCAGAAACAGAAATTAGTTGAAAGATTCAAAAAGACATATAAATGAAAAAGCAATCATGTGAGAAATAGAATTAGATGGATTTAGCAGACAAAACACAAATAATGATACCAAGAGCAGTATAGCAACTTGAAAGTGAAAATGCGAAACACAAGACAATGAAGATTAAAACATGGTATTATATAATAATTACCATGGAGTAGGGTTTCTTGATATGATGAACGAACTGTTTGGTTATTAAGATGAAAGAAAGAATGTCAATGATGTGAGGATGTGACTGAATGACAGCTATTCATGAAGCCGAATTATTGACGTAAGCCTCCAGCATTATTTGCGATCAAAGACAAAACTTTTTGGGATAAATTGACATGCATTTATCCTGTGGCATCTTCGTCTGATCTTGCTGGCGTTGGTGTCACACTAAGCGCTAGAGCTGAGGCAGCACTAATCGATTGGATCCCCATTAACAGCCGGTTATGTGCTGTTAGATTACAAAGTTCCATCAAAGTGAGAAGAAATAGGCGTGAGAAACGATGTCTTTTCGTCATCTCCGCCTATGCCCCGACAGATTGCAGCCCGGATGCAATCAAGGACGAGTTCTACCACCAGCTAACTGTTCTTCTCCAGAAAGTGCGTTCGACAGATATTGTAGTACTAGCTGGAGACATGAATGCTCAGGTTGGGCGTCTAGGCACAGAAGAGAGTCGTTTAGGTGGCCGATGGGGACTTGTTGGTCGCAGGTCAGATAACGAGGAACGTCTACTGCAACTATGCACAGACCACAACCTGTTTCTGGCTAGCACTAACTTTCGGCACAGTCATCGCCGATGTGCCACCTGGCGTCCCCCTTCTGCATCTCAAGCCTGGACTCAGATTGATCACATCGCGATCAGCTACCGCTGGCGCGGTTGTGTACGAGACTGCCGCTCCTTTTGGAGTACCTATCTGGAATCTGATCATGCTCTGGTATGCACCAATCTTACCTTACTTTTCAGTGGACAACGAAGTGACCGCCACCAAAGGATTGATGTTAGCAAGCTGGCTGCAACTTCTGTTGCTAGTAAGTACCAAACCAAGCTAGCTTCTAGGCTAGCTACCATTCCACCGAAAAGTATAGATGAGCATTGGTTGCAATTGCATGACGCCATGAAAATGGCGGGTCAAGTCAGTTGTGGGTTTGCGAAACGTCCCGCTTATAAGCACTGAATTTTTTCTGGTTCCTTACAACTCATTGAAGCTCTTCGGTCTACTCCGGGTGACCGTGAGTTTCAGTCAGTCAGTCAGCTGCAACGTAGGACCAGGCACGTATATGCATCGGTCCAAGTTGCCATACCGCATTAGCACAACAAGATGAACACCGGATTCATAGGAGTAGTTAATTCAGTGGTGGTAATATATAGAAGAAAGATTGTGTATAAGGAGATAGTAAAGGAGTTTGACCACAAACGAAGGATGTTACGTATTGAAATCGGGCAAAGCTTGCGTGAGGACCGAGAAGCCTGGTGGTCGGAGCGTGCTAATGAGCTGAAAGCAGAAGTTGCATCCGGTAATTACCGGAAGCTCTTCCAACTCATCCGAGCCACTGGCAGCAAGAAGATTGGTGTGAGCGAAGCAATCTGAAAGGATGACGGGATGACAATCACTAACATCCATTGACGTCTATGACGATGGGCAGAATTTTTTCGAAGGGCAGTTCAACTGGCCTGCTGCTCCGGCAACATCGGTCAGACTGTCCTGCCCTTCATGGCCTGTGACGACTGATCCACCTAACAAGGCGGAAGTCTGCAAAGAACTCCAACTCTTGATGCGCTACAAGTCACCAGGTCCAAACGACCTACGTCCTATCCGTTTTAAAGTTAGTGGCGACCTTCTGGTTAAGGAACTGAGTTGTTTGCAAATGCCTGGCAATTAGAGAGTGTTCCAACATTGTGGAAGGAGTCGATAGTTGTCCCTATCTTTAAAAAGGGTTCACGTCGTTCCTGTAACAACTATCGTGGGATAAGCCTACTTCCGATTGCGTCCAAGCTATTGGCTTCCTTCATACTTCGTAGGTTGCTCAAAACCCGAGAAAGATTGACTCGCGAGGAGCAGGCTGGGTTTCGTTCTGGTCGAGGATGTATTGATCATATCTTCACCCTCCACCAAATGTTAGAACACCGTCATATTTACAAAGGCCAACAATCGTACTGTTTCTCGACATCAGAGCTGCCTTCGATTCGTTGGATAGGACTGTTCTCTGGGATTTTCTATTAAAGAATGATGTGCCCTAGAAGTTCATTAACATCCTAAAAGCCCTACATACAAACACCTCGGGCAGAGTGAGGGCATACAACCACTTTTCTCCATTATTCCATTCGAGCAGTGGGGTTAGGCAGCGTTGCCCAATCTCATCATCCCTCTTCAACTTTGCCGTCGATGACATTCTGGAAACAGCTCTGACGGATTTAAG